AGGCACAGAGATGTTGAGTAACTTGCCCAACTTACTGTAAGAGGGAGCGTCAGGGTTCGAACCCTGATTCCTACCCTGTTCTGCCATGATCCATGATCTCCATGACCACAGATCTGTCCTGCTGGGCCTCAGCGGTGCCCCCAGCACTTGGCTTCCAGCACGGTGCTCCCCCTTCCTCCTCTCCTCTGCCCCTGCCTTCTCCTCCTTCTCTTTAAGTCTCCTTTTTAAATATCTTCTCTTCCCACACTAGGTCCCAATTCAATTTCCCTTTTGGCTCATTTCTTTCCTTTTGTTTTAGGAGTGTATGCCTTAAACAGCGAGAAGCAGTGGGTAAATAAGGCCAGCGGAACGAAACTTCCTGAATGTGAAGCAGGTAGGAAGGCAGGGGCCCTGGGAAGCAGACCAAGGGTAGGTTAAGGGTCTGGTGCACCAGCAGGCATCTGGGTCGAAATGTCCCAGAGGCACATCCTTTCTGTGGTTTCCTCTGAACATACAAGAGCCAAGACAAGGGGCCACAGAGAACCACAAACGGCCGGGTAGAGAAGTGAGCAGTTAGGTGACGACTCCTCGATAAAGCTCACAAAGGACCTCGTTCATTTGGGCTTGCAGGGCATTGACTGAATCCACTGTCTACACCACCCCCAGAGGATCAGGAGACCCTGTATGTACAGACAGCCAGCCTACAAAGCCCAGGGTCAGGGGTAAATAAAGCCCAGGAAGAACAAGTCAAGGGAGGATGTAACAAAACCTTAATTCATGGAAGTCTGACGCAGGAGGCCCATCTCCCGATGGGCCAGGACTTCTGTTCCCCGTTATTAGGAAGAGCTGTTGCTCTCTCCTCTTCCCTCATGGAACAAGAGGGTTTTGCCTACTCTTGTCTGCTACTTGTGGTGCAGAACTGCTAACCCGCCTTGTGTTAACTGCAGTATCTATACAATCTGAGCTCCATCCAACGCTGCTACAGATCCCTGTTTATTCAGAGCGAATTTTTATTCAGAGGGAGTGAATTATTATAGCTCCTTGCCCTTACAATGAATTTCAGAAAATTGTGGACATTTCTTGGTTGTGATAAATTGTTTAAATATACACACAGCTCATCAACTAGGCTTTGAAAATCTCAGCATCGCTTTTTTTGGATTTAGAAAAGCAGGAAGAGTTCTATCTTAGCAATGTAAACAATAATAATAATAAAAAAGAATCAGTTTAAACTGTAAACATTGGAAATGAGAGAAGCAGATAGTAAGGGCAAAGCACGTAAATATCTCTAGCTCTGAAGAAATGAACGATGAGGGACAGCAGCAATAGCTCATACTCTCACCCCTCTGACCCAGATTGGGAGACTCATATTTCTGCTCGTGATTTTCTTGCTCTCCTTCACAGTGTGTGGAAAGCCCAAGAATCCAGTGGATCAGGTGCAACGGATTATAGGTGGATTGCTGGACGCCAAAGGCAGCTTTCCCTGGCAGGCTAAGCTGGTGTCCCGCCACAACCTCACCACAGGGGCCACACTGATCAGTGAACAATGGCTGCTGACCACGGCTCAGAATCTCTTCCTGAATCATACACCTGATGCAAAACCAAAAGACATTGCCCCTACTTTAAAACTCTATGTGGGGAGAAAGCAGCCTGTGGAGATTGAGAAGGTGGTCTTCCACCCGGACTATCAGGAGGTAGACATCGGGCTCATCAAGCTCAAAGAGAAGGTGCCCGTTGGTGAGAGAGTCATGCCCATCTGCCTACCTTCAAAAGATTATGCGCAAGTGGGGCGTGTGGGTTATGTGTCTGGCTGGGGGCGAAATGCCAACTTTAATTTCACGGAGCTACTGAAGTACGTCACGCTGCCGGTGGCTGACCAAGACACCTGTGTGAAGCACTACGAAGGCAGCACTGTGCCCGAAAAGAAGACAAACAGGAGCTCTGTCGGCGTGCAGCCCATCCTGAATGAACACACCTTCTGTGCTGGCCTGTCCAAGTTTCAGGAGGACACCTGCTACGGCGATGCTGGCAGTGCCTTTGTCATTCACGATGAGGAGGACGACACCTGGTACGCGGCTGGGATCCTGAGCTTTGATAAGAGCTGTGCTGTGGCCGAGTATGGAGTGTACGTGAAGGTGCCCTCCATCCTGGATTGGGTTCAGAAAACTATCGCTGAGAACTAATGCAAGGCTGGCGGCCAGCACTGCCTGAGAGCAAGGCTTCCCTCCGGCAGAGGGAAACGGGATGGGAGCGGAGGGCCTAAAACGTGGTGTTCCAGCCCTGCGTTGCTGAGACAATCAATAAAGAGGTTCCTTTTGACTCATTTCTGTGCTGTTTTTAGCCTTTTTTCTTCCCTCATTTATGGTACAGAAGCAGCCAAGTGGTATAGAGTCTAGTGGGAGTGTGGCAGAAAACACCCCAAGGCAACTGGAAATCCCTAAGGTGACAGGACCTCTCACCTCACCCACCGCAGGGATCCTTCTCACTGAGCGCCTCCTGAAGGACAGGCCTCAGAAAGGTCATTGTTATCCTCGTTTTACAGACAAGGAAACAGACACTCAGAGAAGTTAAGCGATTTGCTTAAGGTTACACAGCCATTAAACAGTGAAGCTGAACCTTGAACTTAGGACTGTCTGAATACAAACCCTGAGTCTTTCCACTGCATCCTTTTGCCTCCTAGAAGAGAATTAGGAGAAAGGGCGCAGGCCTGGTGAGGAAGATGCCAGCTCAGAGTGAGATGAAAACAGTGTTCTGACACAGACAGTGCTTTATTGCTTGTGCTCCAACCAACCGACATCCAGAAAACAAAGTAAGATCATGTAAAGGCAGGCTCTCCGGCCTTGCTGGGTCCAAATTACAGCTCAGCCATAAATTTGCTGAGTGCCTTAAGCTCCCTGCCCCCAGTTCCCTGATCTCTTCCATGAGCAGCTCAAACCAGCGGCTCACCTCTGGATGGCCCCCGAGGCCCGAGCGGCAGTAACATTCTGGGACACGGTAAAGAGTTAGAGGTCTCTTCCTTAGCAGGTACTGCTCTTCCCACTTGGAAGAACCCTATCCTTCGCCAGGGGTCAAATGCAAGCTGTCTGAGTCTTCCATTTCACAAACATATGGGTTCTCTATTACAGGTCTCCCAGAAGAAAGGTTCCAGAACCCTTGTAAACAGGAAGCTCTGCTAACTGCATTCTTTCTTGCTATAAGCTTTCAGTACACTGATTCTACACCAATAAACCTTCTTGTCGTACAAAAACATGGCCTCCCCTTCTAATAGTGTAAAATGCCACTGATGCCATGCTTCTCCCACCAGCCTCCGGCATTCGCTGTGAAGGTCTCCTCACATGCACCTCCAGATCCATCGACACATTTTAACAGGTTACAACTACTGGACCAGTGAAGGGCTTAAACCTTCAGGAACCTGTGAAAGAGATAGTAGCCAGGAACTGAAAAATAATACAAACATAAAAAAAAAAGCCTCTCAGAGTACAGTCAGTTATACCTTTTTCTTCTGGTAGAATCTTTAGGACCAAATTTTCTTGAAAAATAAACCACCCCAGCTTTCTCGAAGAACTGTATTAAGTGGCTTCTGGTCACCACTCAGAAGGAAAATAATAAGAGAAAACCTCTAGTACTTTCTCGATTCACTTGTCTTCTCTGCCTTACTCCCCAGCAGCACCTCCTGCCCTCCCAGCCTCCCCATCCAGTTTTAGTGGCACTGAACTCCTGCCATCGTGGCCCCGGGCCATCTTCCCTCTGGGCCCCTCTGCAGAAATGCCCTTCCGCTTTCTGCATGAGCACCTCCCACTTGCCTTGGAGGCTCAGGCCCTGCCTCCTCTAAGAAGCCTTTTTCTTGTCCAGGAGTCATTTGTATTTATGCAGCATCTCGCAGAAGACAGGCATACAGTAGGTACTCAATAAATACTCACGGAATGGAAAGCAACTAAGACAGGAACAAAAACATAAATCAGGACTTCAGAGGAAGATTCCCTAAAGCCCTTGGGAGGAATGAAGAGATGAGAATTTATGCACGTAAGTTCGGAGTCCTTGCTGGTATCTGAGCACGGAGCACCCATCAAATACTGCGTGACTTAGGCAGTGAGTGACAGAAACTCTGACTGATGGGGACAGGCAATGAGGACCTCCGACTCTCTCCTAGAGGGCTGGCGGGCGCAGGTCTGGTATTCACCAGTAGCTTGCTCATGTCACCTGGAGCCAGGCTCTTCTTCCCGTTCTTCTCCGACACTCATTTCTCACCCCCACGCTGGTCGCCTTGCGGCCGAGATGGCTGCTGCGGTTTTGCTGTGACCACCATAAAAGCAGGAAGCGGGGGAGGAGGAGACAGAGGCGGTGCTGGTGGTGAAGGGGTGTTGTTTTGTCTTATTCCCAGAGTGGCTCTCTCCTTTGAGCTGTGAAGGCCACAAAAGCGTCCTTCCTTCCATGTCGCCTTAGTCAGAACCAGGTCGCATGGTCACTGTTCCTGCAGAAAAGCCTGGGGAAGGAAACACCTAGCAAAGGGGGTGGACTTGCGGTGATAGTACGGCCCTGCACAGAACCGGGCTTCTGCGGTCACACACTGCCTGGTCCACGGCGCTCTGGCTCTGCGTCTCCTCTCTTATTCTAGAAAGTCAGCACCAAGAGCCCCATGAGGTTTTGAGGGGAGCAGTAACTTGCCCAAGAGGTGGCAGGTTGTGCCAGGGGAAGAGCAAGAATTCTGCATAAAGCTATTAAAAACAGGCAAATCCCATAAAGATAATATTTCTTTCTCACAATTCTGACATCTGTTTCCAGTCTTGGGGCCTTGCAGTAAAATTTTCCGCCTTAGGAAGAGGCGGAAGTCTGACTTCTTGGAGAGATCTGCTCCCACTTACTAAGGGCAGCTGACGCTTTGCGTAGCTCAAATTGGGTGCTGGGTGGTAAAGGTTCAAGTTCTCACCTCTTGGGCAATTTAATAACACAAAAGCTAGTAAAATGAGCAAACCAGGACACTGTTTTCAAAGTCTGAGCCAGAAAGGTGGCAAAATAAAACAAACTTGCCAGTTAGAGAATTATTTATTCCAAGAGAAGCTGGAATAATAAGGACTGGAGGCAGGAGAGCATGAGGACTATAAATACGTGAGTGGAGGAGCGGGCGAGCCTCAGGGTGAGGGAGGGTGTGTGTACGTCTAGGGTAGAAGATAAGTATCTTTGCTCTTATGGGAATTGACTTTCCATTTTACTTGTGTATCAAATAAACATAGTTAAATCAAATTTAACAAATGTTTAAGAGGATACTGTATTATCTTAAGGGATAAAGAAAAGCACCATCTAAAGAGAAGTTAAGAAAATCACACTGGGGAAACCGAGCACGGCTGACCGACGGCTCTGAGGTCTGCAGGGAGCAGACACGTAGGCACCCAGGCATCACAGTGCTGGCCTGTTCTTCCACTTGGGGGCCAGCGTTTTCCATACAAGTCAAACCTCTGCTCTGCTGGGACCCTGAGCACGCTTCCGAAGGACTCCAGAAAAACAGCACAGCTGGATTCAGGTATTGCCTCAAGACGTGCTTCTCTCTTCAACTTTGACAGTAGCGCATGTGCTAAATGTCTTGATAGAGAAGGTCATATTTAGGAATATTCTTGGGATCAATAGGACTTTGTACAATCAGTTTTCCCCTCATCGCTCCTCGATAAATTACTTCAACCAAATCTATGAAGTCTTGTTTGGTTTTGAAACTTCCCACAAACTTAGTGTGATCTGGAGACCTAGACAGCACAGAAGAGAAACAACCTCGCTCAGAACTTTTAAGAGTTACATGCTGAAGACCCTCAGGAGAAAGAGAATGAACAGGAGCTCTGTCACTCTCCTCTTGTCAGGGAGACTTCAGACAGAAAGCCTGACATTGATTTTACATTTGTGATTACAGAGCCCGTTTGATGAAGCCCATGCTGGGGGCCGCTGGGATAGAAGGTAAGCCCCAGCGGGCGAAACGCTTCTGCTTCACAGTCTATTTCCATCACTTCTCAAATCACCAGCAAGTAGAATTCTCTGAGTGTTGGCATGGGTGTAGTTTCTTTTTGGTTGTTATTGTTTTGGGTCAAGCACTGTACAAATCCCATGAACTAGTTGTGGTCTCTGAGTTCCAGTCACTTTTACTTTTGAGTAGTGGGTACTGAAAATTTGTTTTGTACTATTTCAAACATCAAGTGTGTTTATTTTAGAAATTTCTTAGAAAAAAATAAAACCACCAGTGACGCCAAGGCCAAATTTTGGTGTATACCCTTCCAGTCTTGTGTATATATGTATGTATATGTTTGTGTGGATGTGCATTTCTTTTTTTTTTTTTCTACTAAGGAAGATATGCCCTGAGCTAACATCTGTTGCCAATCTTCCTCTTTTTGTTTGAAGAAGATTTGCCCTGAGCTAACATCTGTGCTAATCTTCCTCTGTTTTGTATGTGTGTTGCTGCCACAGCATGGCTGCCGAGGAGTGGTGTAGGTCCGTGCCTGGGAACTGAACCCAGGCCGCCAAAGTAGAGAGCACCAAATTTAACCACCAGACCATGGAGCTGGCCCCTGAATTTCTTTTCCCACAGAAATAGGCATCATATCACACAAACTATTTTGTAATATGCTTTTATCAACATAAAATATATTTCTTTCAAAGTCATTAAACATCATCTATAACAGAGTAAACGGATATCCAGCATCCCTCTGAGGACATCTATGTTCTTTCTAAGTATTTTGCTTTCTAAACAATGGTGGGATGAACACCCATGCAGCCAATTCTGCCCACTTTCATGATTATCGTCATTCAGAGAAATTCCTATAAATGCAATTGCTGGGCTAAAAATTTTACACATTTTTAAGGTGTTTGATATGTATTGTCTTAAATTGCCCTCTAAAAAGACTGCACCAAATTAATACTTACATTATTGTATTCTAGGAGAATACATAGCTTTAAAACACTTAAAACATATAATATTAAACACACTTTCAAACTGATAATGACAGAGCAGGTGCAGAGATCTAGATAAGCGGACACCTCAGCCACGGTAAGAAATGATAAGAATCACAGACATATTCAAAATAAATATTAGTACTGGGATGCTGACTGGATGGAATGGAAGGCATGAAAGAAGATTTCATGTTACTTATTCTTGACGGGCTTTGCTGAAGAATGACTTCGAGATTCTCTCAGTGGCAGAAGATAGGAAACTTGTCAAGAGAAGCATGTCTTAGATTGCTGGAAGGAATGCTTCTCTTATAACTGCAATCTACTAGTCCCAAAAGTTTAAGAACAAAGATATATTTTGTTTAAATGAAATTCCTGGGAAACAAACAAAAAAACCCTGTTCTATATTTTCTACACTGAAGGATGGTTAGTACTTCACAAACTGTACTATTCTTTCATACTTAAGCAGTTGGCATATTAAAATTTGCCAATCACACTTGAGCACTCATTTTGCACCAAATTTTCACATAAAAAATTAGTGCAGTAGTTGAGGAAATAGGACCAACACAAGACTCACAGAGCCACCCTCACACGCAAACAGGCGAGTCACTGTTACAGCTTAGACAGAGCAAACGTTTAAGACTGCAATAACTTCATGTCAACTAACTTACCCATAATCCACTTTCATATGCTGCCCATTGAAGAAAAACACAGTAGACGGAATGTAGCTGATGTCAAAATAGTGTGTATAAACTGGAGTTTGGTCCACATCTACCAGATATATAGCAGCCATTTTACTCAAGTCAGAAGAGGTCTTAGAAAGCTGAAAATGAAGACAGAGATGTGGGTTACAACATGAGAGGTAGGCAACGTTTCTTCTGTGAAATTTTTCAGTAGAATAGAGTTTTCTGTTTGAAAAAAATTCCTTGGAGGCTGGCCCCGTGGCATAGTGGTTAAGTTGGGCATGTTCTGCTTTGGTGGCCTGGGTTCGTGGGTTTGAATCCTGGGCATGGACCTACATCACTCATCAGCCATGCTGTGGCAGTGATCCACATATAAAGTGGAGAAAGATTGGCATAGATGTTAGTGCAGGGCTAATGCTACTTAGCAAAAAAAATAAAAATAAAAAAATAAAAAAATTCCTGGGCCAAGAATCTAGCCTGTTTGAATTCAACATTAGGCACAGTGTAACCTCATCATTCAAAGTGTGAATCACTTTTGGGAGGGTTATGAGAAGGCCCAGGGTAAACTGCATGAACATATTTCTTCATTTTTTTTCCTATTTTTGATTGTATAGGGTTTTTTTTTTTTTTTTGCTGAAGAAGATTCACCCTGAGCTAACGTTTGTGCCAACCATCCTCTATCTTTTAGTATGTGGGCTGCCAGCACAGCATGGCTGCTAACGGAGTGGTGCAGGTCCACACCTGGCAACCAAACTCATGTCGCCAAAGTAGAGCATGCTGAACTTAACCACTAAGCCACTGGGGCTGGCCCTGATTGTGAAGTTTTCATAAACTTTCTTGATTTATAAAATCTCTCCTCACTTAAACAAAAACCAAAACAACTCAGAAATATGTACTAGACACTGAAACTCCCCCAAGAGTCTCTTTCCTTTCAATCTATCAATAAATGATAATTATAATAGCAAACCCCTACACGGCACTTAAGATGTGTTAACTGTTCTAAGCACTTTACGCTTGTGAACTCCTTTAATCCTTACAACATTCCTATGAGGTACGCACTATTACAGTTCCCATCACAGATGAGGAAACTGAGGCACAGGGAGCTCATCTGCCCCTGGTCACACAGCTAATAAGGCTAGGATTTGAACTCAGGCAGCTTGGCTTCAGAGGCAATACTCTTGACCTCTGGTGACAGTCCCTCTCTGCTACAGCTGTGGGTGAAATCCTCTGGCCCCTCTCCCCCAGGTTAACACAGCACATGCTCATTTTTAATCAGAGTAATGAGGATTCTTACAACTGGTCCACACAATGGGTGTCAGCGAGAGAAAGGGTGGAAGAGGTCTTAGACCAGGGGTAAGTCTCTCTCCATAATAGAAGGAGACAAGGATAAACCTACTCTGTCCCATACCGGCTCCCCACTCATCAGAGTGTGAAGACGCGCTGTGAAATCAGGCGCACACTGGAGGCGGCACACTAGGAAAGCGCATTTGCAGGCAGAGGAAGCGCAGTTCGAATCCCAGCCCCGCGATGCAGTGGCTCTGCACCTGGGGAAAGCCACCTGATCTCCTCGGCACTCATCTGCTCCTTTGGGAACAGTAATAGGAATGATCTCACTGTTGGGAGCAATAAGATAATGTTCATAGATGCTTGTTAACAAAGTTTTCTGCTCTCCATTCACTGTGTTGGTGAAGCTGAGCTTTGACAGCTGCTAGTGGGGAAGCACATCCAGGACAGGTTCAGCACAGTCTCAGTGGGGGGTTCAGCTCAGGGCGGCACACGGTCAGCTCTTAGTCAAAGTGTGCTAACAAATGAACGGCTATAGCCCTGGGCCCTGTCTACTCCCTTTCATGCACTTTGCAGATGCTGAAGTGAGAATGTAGAGATTTTTAATGAAAACCATTTCTTTTAAAAACTCACTTACAATATCATCTAGCTGCAGACAGACAGGATCCTCATCTCTCCCAAACCTGAGAACCAGCACCTTCTCTGCAGTACTTTTGATCGCCTGGTCTACTTCTTTTTTGCTAGTCAGCTTGGGCAACAGGAAGCTCATCTTGAAATAAAAATATTAATCTTCAGTGTCAGTCCTGAAATAAAGTCATAATGTTTAAAGACAGTTGGATTAACTGCATGAGTCCTAGGTAAACAAATTTAAAAATTCATATGGTTTAAAAAGAAACAATATAGAAAGGTAGACTGTGAAAAAGTCCCTTCCTCTGGCACAGTTCCCACTGTCCCATTCCGCCCTCCACACCAGGTAACCACTTTCATTAGTTTCTCAAATATCTTTCAGAGTTTTGTTATGCATTCACAAGAAAATACAAATATGCATTTCTAGGTTTTCTCCCCTTTTTACCCAAAAGATAGCCTATTCTATCAGTCAGTGTTCCAGCAGGAGAGAGATGACATCCTCAAATTTGGTAATCTGAAGAGACTTTCATTAAGGCGGGGTGGAGGAAAACAACAGGGCACAGTGCTGTACTCTGGACCTAGTCACAGCCGGGCGCTGTTCCCACCCAAGGCCCGAAGGAGCCACGGGAGGGAGTAGTGACCAGAATTGTGGGGCAAAGACTGCTGAGTAGAGAAGGTTGCTGTACGGGAGGTCAGCCTGCAGGCAAGGAATGCGGCCAGGCTCCTCCCTCCTTCTGATCTGCTAATGCTCCCCGCAGCTGCCTCCAAGCAGAACCAGAGGGCAGGGGAGCTGCAGAAGCAGGCAAGCCTCCTGTCCCAGAGCAGTCTAGAGAAGGAGGAAGTCTGAATCTGGAGGAGCAAATGACGGACGGCCAGCACATACACTTCACCCACCCTTCTGCACTTTGCACCTTTTTTCCTAACATACAAAGATCTTCCCATATTGCTATACAGAAAACTTCCACATTCTCTGTCAAAGCAGCATACTATTTCACGTAAGGACCATACTTTTTCAACAGTCCTTTACTGATGAAGGTTTGTATTACCATGAGTCCTCGCTTAAAGATTCTGGTGCATTATCTTACCAGGAGCACCTACCTTATCATATGGCAAATACCAATTAAGAGTGTGTATGAAAACCACAAAAAAATAAACACATTGTAAAATACTAGATAGAAGGGACCTAATCTAAGCCCCTCATTTTACACACTAGTTTGCTTATAGTTATACTTTTAGCCAAAGAACTAGGTCTGGAATCCAGGCCACCAAATTTTACTCCAGTGTTCTTTCTACTACGGTAAGCTCCTATTTTTATGACTGAGAAACTCTTTGATCAAGGACCTTTATTTTTGAGTCCATCCATGAAAGACTTCATCGAGATACTTGATATTGTGAATTCATTTCCAAAGTTGGCTAAAGCTAAGAAAAAGGAGGATTTCTTTCCCTATTTTTTTTTTTTGTGACAAGCCACCTTTTAAGATATGAATTAATAAAAACTCACATAGGAAATGAAACTGTTCCCGTAATAGGCCATAGTTTAAAAAGGGAAGCTGATTGCTAGAAGGGACTTCATCAAACGTGGATGGCAGAATAAATTACTGATGAGAAGGAAAGTCAAAGAGAAGATGGCTCTGTCCCACCACTAGAATTCAAACTAAGAGCAAATCCCCCATGTTACTGACAAACAGGAGGAAGTGATGGGAGGCCAGAGCATCAATAGGAAGGGGGTATACAGGGTGGGACTGGACAAATGTTGGAAAGAGGTGAGAGAAACTGAAACTACACCTAAGAAAATGTCCATAGAAAAGGATACCAACAGAGAATTCACAAAAGAAGAGGTACAAATGGTCAAATATGTTTTGAAAAGTTAAGCTTTACTACTAACCAAATTAAAAGATATATTATAAAAAGCCACTAAATTGGCAAAGATTAAACAATGACTGGTAGGAGTCTGAGTGAAGGGGCAGGCATTCATAGTCCCTGCTGGAATGTACAGGAGCACAACTTTTCTAGAAAGAAAGCTGAAAAAAATGCTCTTTGACCAACAATTTCTGAGAATTCATTCTTAGTAAATAATTAGACATGTGCATAAGGATTTACACAAAGGATATTCATCACGTTTATGATGGTGAAAAACCGAAAACAACCTAAATGGCCATCAGTAGGGGATTGGTAAAATAAATGATAGTGCAGTCCGGCAACGCACTATCATACAGCCACTAAACACTGTGTTAGAGACGAACAGTGCAGGCGCTGAAAAGTTCTCGATAAAGAAAAAAGTTATAAAACAGTATATGAAGAGTGATCCCCTTTTGTACAAAACCTAACTAGAATGCATATGTACGTATTAGCAAAGAAAAATAACAGGAAATAAATATCCCCAAACACCATCGGTGGTTACGTCTGCACGTGAACAGACGAGTGACTTGTATTCACATTGGGGTGCGCGTCTTTACTTTTCCAGAATACCCAACATATATATTTTAATGACGAGTGTGGTTGGGCTATTCCTGGCCCACAACTGCCAGGGCAGATGATACTCACTTTACTTGTCCAAGTCACCTCTCTCTTTTCCACTTCTGGGCTGTCGGCAACCCCGACCCTTCTCCAAAACGCCAGGAAGCGGGCGGCGCCTTAAGACCGCAGGTACTTAACTCAAAGTACCCCAGGGGCTGTTGCCTAGCAACCCTTAGGCTGCCCACCTAAGAGGACGGAAACGGAAAAAGAAAAGGCACAGGCGCAATCGACGGACGCGCTTGTCCGGCTCCACAGCTCAGGAAGAGGCTGTTCTAGGCACCGCCCCGCTGCCCAGGCTCCGACCGGAAGCCCTAGAGTCACTTCCGCCCGTATTAAACAGGACCGACCTCTTTTCCTCTCCCTCCCGCTTCTCAGACTAGAGGCGGGGCTTGCCTCTTAGACTAAGCGTGATTGGTCGCAAGGAGACTCGGAAGTGTCTCGGATGAAAGCCCCAGAGGAGGGCACTCTAGCCTCTGAGCGTGGTCGCCTTCTGGCCCACACTGGGAGCCCGGACCCGGCGTTTTCCGGGCTGCTCTCAATGGTATCTTCGGACGGATAGAGGGGCCCGCGCAACGTATAATGGGACAATAATGGCGGTTCTCGAGGTTCGGATTTTGGCTCTTTAAGGCGGTCTGAGCAAGGGGTGGTGGCACCGGCACCCCAGAATCCGGGACAGAAGGTCCCGAGAGTCGGTCTTGGTGAGGTGAGTGCCCCTTCTTCCTTCCTAACCTACCCTTCGCCAATCATGGCGGCTCCAGGCGGCAGATATCGGTCTCTCGCTCAGGTTGGGGTCCGGGTCTGGAAAGTCTTGTCCCTGTCACCCAACTTGCCTTACTCACCTTAGGGATGCTGCGCCAGTCCGTCCTGCCCCGGCCTTTCTTCTTGCTCTGGTCAGATCCTGCTGCCTGGCGCGGTCTCATTGAGGTCCAGGGATGCTGCCCGGGGTCCACCCTTCCTCAGGCCTCGGCATCAGCCCGCTGCCAGACGGACGCCGAGCCCGAGTAGGGCTCCTTGTGCCTTCCTCGTCTCTGTCACAGTGTCTCTCTACCAGTCTGTCTCCTCTACGAGAACATCAACTCCAAGAGGGCGGAGATTTTTGTGTTTTATTCTGTGCTCCATCCGTATTGCCCAGAACAGCGATTGACTCATAGAAGGCACTCAGTAAATAATTGTTGAATGAGTAAATCCAGTTTCTTTCTTCATCGTTTTCTTCTTACCCCTTGTGGCTTCTTTGCCTTTAATCTTTCTCTAGAATCTATCCCTTAACTCCTTATTTGTTCTTCTCAGCACTTACTTAAGTCCTGTCTGTCAGACTCCTTGTCTTGTGCTGCTGGTGTCTTCCCTTGCTGTCTGTAGAAATGTTTGGCTTCCTGTCTCTTTTAATCAGTTTAAACTCATTCGTTCATTTATTTATCACATGTTTATTTTGCTAGGCACTGGGCATAGCAGTCAACAAGACAAGGTTCTCCTGCATAGAATGACATTCTAGGGATATATTTTGTAGTTCAGACTCCTGCTGAGCAGAGTCTGTGTATCTTACCTTCCTGTTTAGATTTCCTCCCATGCAGACAGATGTCACCAATATGCAGCTGCCTTTTCTATTCTGCCTGATGGCATTTTTCAAAATGCATCTGTTGTTTCTGTCCATATTATGAGTCTGGTCTGTGTGGCAATATTCTTCTGTAGAGCTGTGCATGTTAATTAGAGCTGGGCAAAACATTCTGGATTCTGGTGCTACCCTACCCTTTGACAGTTCCTTTGCTTCCTTGACTTGTTGGAATGAGGGGAATTATCCAAGCGCTCAGAATTGGTGTGTCTTTATAAGTGGGTATTGTATAGCAGGAGGTAAATAGGAATTTGTTACAAGTTGAGTGCCAGCAAATCTTACAGTCACCTCAATACTTTTTAGAAACATTGTTTCCTAGACTACTGCTTCTCATCAGTATTTGTGGTGAGCATGGATTGTTATTAAACAGATTTTGATTGCTGTGAGGTAATTCTTTTCTGCAACACAACTGGTCCCATAAAAGCCACTAAAGTATGGATCACATGGATGGTAGCCTTATAGCCCCAAATCTCTCCTCTGCTGTATCTGTAGTTTAAAGGGAGGGAGAAGCAGAAGAACTCATGTGAAAAAATGGCAAGGCACTCAATCAGTATATAGGAACACAGCAAATACAATAATGTAACAATCCTATTTATGTAAGTTTTTACAGTTACAGGGAACTTTCAGATGCACTTTCTTATTTCTCACAATCACTCCATGGATTAGGTAAAGTAAAAATTATTTCCATTTTACAGATACAGAAATTAGGCCTAACCAAAGACTAAGTTATTTGCTTACAATCAAACAGGTAGAATATGTCAAGCCTGGATTCTAATTACGGTTTCTGACTTCAAATCTAGTGGTATTTCCCCTACACTCCTTCTATAGATGCCACCAGGCTTTAGTAAGTGTCCCTTAGTGAGGTCTCTTCTTGCCTAGATGAGACCCTCTTGGATACTGGTGTTTGGGATGTGCATGTATCTATTTCTGATTTGTGTTGGGGTGGTAGTAAGAGGATCTTCTGAGGTTGTCAATGACTTGTTGGAACGGTCTTGGCAAGAAATAGCTAAAGAAATCCTGGTTTTGAGAGGGAGGTTAACCCCCTAAATATACCTATAATTACTGTTATCCTGGGATATAGCCGAGCCAAGCCTTCTCTCCTCTTATGTCTAATACCAAATGATTTGTCTTCCTTCCAGAGAAATCTCAGCACCTGTCATGGAGGACATCAGCGAGGATGCCTCGATCCATCGATTGGAAGGCACTGATCTAGACTCTCAGGTTGGCGGTCTTATTTGTAAGACCAAAAGTGCAGCCAGTGAGCAACATGTCTTCAAGGCCCCTGCTCCCCGCCCTTCATTGCTGGGACTGGACTTATTGGCTTCCTTGAAACGAAGGGAGCGAGAGGAGAAGGATGATGGGGAGGACAAGAAGAAGTCCAGAATCTCTTCCTACAAGGACTGGGAAGAGAGCAAGGATGACCAGAGAGACACTGAGGAGGAGGGCAGTGACCAGGCTGGCCGAAGTAGCCGAAAAGACAGGTAAAGGCGTTAGGGTGGATTCACCCAAAGGAAATGAAAATGGAGGCCAGAAAATAACATCCCATATTTATCTCTCAGTTTTCTTGGTGGACATTTAGAGCTTTATGATTTTATTAGGATTTTGTAATATTGAGGCCATGGAGGAATTAATATTTTCTTCAGATTTGTGAGGAACATTGAAAGGCTACTGAAGAGTAGATGATGGAGATTAGAAATGCTTTGCATTGTTGTCGGATGTAAGCCTGCAGTACCAGGGAGATAAGTGGAAAAAGACAGGTCATTTTTTTGGCACAGCAAAAGGTTTGGGGCAAGGTTTTTCTCCTATGGAAGGGCTCTTTACCAACTGCCCTCCCTGTTTCAGACATTATCGATCTGCTCGGGTAGAGACTCCCTCCCATCCTGGTGGTGTGAGTGAAGAGTTTTGGGAACGCAGTCGGCAGAGAGAGCGGGAGCGGCGGGAACATGGTGTTTATGCCTCGTCCAAAGAAGAAAAGGATCGGAAGAAGGAGAGATCGCGGGATCGAGACTCTGACCGCAAGAGAGACAGAGGTAAACTGCCCAGCATAGTTCCTGTTGCCTGTTAAGCATTTGAGTTAACATGTGTGCCTTTTTGCTGTTGCAGCAGTATTTATAACGCCCTTTAACGAGGGAGGCCTATTTTTATGTCAGCCTGGTTGGTTTTGACCCTCTTGGGATTGGGAATAGCAGGCAGTTGAGAAAAGAGCTGTTACTTGCAACATAGCTACTTTGCTTGAGTGTGTGGTCCTTGTTTTATTGTGAAAATTGGTGATAAAGGTGATAATGGGTAATATACATGAGAGATCAGAGTTTACAGTAGTATTGGCAACAGAGAAAGGACAGTGCTATGGAGCAAAGCTAGACATAAAATCCAAGCTGACTTTGCTCAGTATTAAGTTTTATAGCTTATAGACTTGTAACCATCAAACAACTATTCACTGTAGACTTGTAACTATTCTTTTTTGAATTCTTGCAGGAAAATAACTGTTACTGTGAGTTTGAAACTTTCTAGCCAGTAACTATTTTTTCCCCTTGAGAGAAGGGGGATATGTGAGTTTCAGGAGTCCAGTGGATCGCATTAGAGCAGTGCAGGTGGCACCTGTGAGTGAGTGGGAAGGCTTGTCCTTTCTCTAGGGTAAAGATGGGTGGAAGTTAGGACGGGACACATGTTTTCTAAGCTCTGTGTGTAACTCTTGACAGATGAGCGGGATAGAAGCAGGCACAGCAGCAGATCGGAGCGAGATGGAGGGTCAGAGCGCAGCAGAAGAAATGAACCGGAAAGCCCGCGACACCGACCTAAAGGTAGACTGAGCTGTTGCTCGTGGTGGTTTGTGACGGATCAAGTGTGTGAAGGCAGGGTGAGCGACTCCCATCCTCAGTGGGATTGCTGTGGACAGAGTCAGAATTCCTGATTCCACCATGAACTTCTTGGAATACTTGGTTCTGAGACAGGTGGGAAGACCCTGTGACCCTGTACCCCTCTGTTGAGATAGATATGTTCCTTTAAGGTGATAGGCTGGTTTCTGATTGGCCAGTTTTCCAAGTGGCAGGAAAGAAGAAGGATTTGTTAAAAAGAATTATTTATATTTTAGAGGGGTATGTTTGCAGAGATAAATTGGATATTCCTAAACATGTTGTTATAAACACAGATGAAAACTGGACCGTTAAAATTCGGCTATCTTTAAAAACTGTCAGAACCATCTTATCCTTTATAACTAGGTGCAAAGTTTGTAAATAGTGAAAGAAAGAAATTTGGGGAATTGACTTTTGTCTAATAGTTCTGGAGCCATGTCCTGGTTAAATTAGATGTTTCCAGTGGATGTATCTTTTGTGGCCCCAGATGCAGCCACCCCTTCAAGGTCCACCTGGGAGGAAGAGGACAGTGGCTATGGCTCCTCAAAGCGTTCGCAGTGGGAATCGCCCTCCCCGACACCTTCCTATCGGGATTCTGAGCGGAGCCACCGGCCATCCAGTCGAGATCGGGATAGGTGATGTTCTGGGCAGAGCAGCCCAGTATCTCTGAGTGGGTGGCAAAGGGTGGGCATGATGAAGGTGAAGCGATCCAGGCCAGCAGATCAGGTGGCAGCCAAGGGGCATGGCTCAGCTTAGTGACTGTTTAGTGATGCTGGTTGTACTGTTTCCCAGGTCTGTGAGGAGCAGGTACTCAGATGATACACCTCTGCCAACC